TTGACCTCATGCTGCCTATGCCAACATCTCATAGACTATAAAGAAAACAGTAGAAGCTATGGAACTGTGAGGAGCCCTGGTGGCACAGTGGTTATAGCGCTAGACTGCTAACCAAAAGGTCAGCAGTTCAAACCCACCAGCAGCTCCGCAGGAGAAAGATGTGGCAGTCTGCTTCCTTAAAGATTCACAGCCTTGGAAATCCTATGGGGCAGTTCTACTCTGTCCTATAGGGTCACTATGAGTTGTAATCGATTTGATAGCAATGGGTTTGGTTTTTTGGTGTATGGAACCTTGCATTCGTTAAGGAACACGTATAATATTTGCCTATCAGGCTGGTGTCTGTGGTCATTACTAGAACTGGAAATAGTATTTCTCAACAGAAAAACAGTTTATTTACAAAGGAAGCTGACCTATAAGAAAAGAAGGTATCAAACACTTTGCTATTTCAGAACTGAAAGATAAGAATAAGTGGAAATGGTGATACATTATCAAATCACTTCCCAAAACAGAGGAAAACGTCAGTGAAGTTGGATAAAACTCAAAACTGCCACAAGACACTCAAAAACTACAACTGATGACTTATGCAACATACAGAGATGTAGCCACGGATACATTCTAGTTTACTGTTTTCTAACGCAATACATGTCGTCCCCAGATTACAAACGAGTTCCGTTCCTAAATCTGCCTTTAAATCAAATTCGTATGTAAGTCCGAACAGTTAAGTATTGTTGGCATCTAACGTCAGTTAGTCAAATGTTTGTCTTAGTACGTAGGGAACTTTTCTATGCAGAAAAAACATTAAAGAAACACTTAAAGATACACTAAAACATCTTTAACGTAATAATAATAATGTTTTGACGCACATCGCAAAGTAGCACCCATTTGTTATTACGAACCATTGTGTATACCTCAAAATTTTAATATAATAGGCTTTAAGGGGGTTGGTTCCTACTACAGGTTGTACGTAAGTTGGAAGTTCGTAACCCGGGGACTGCCTGTAATGGTAAGATAAGCTATCCTTCGTAATCAATAAATCTCCCATAGGAAAAACTGCCTACACAACTAATCTCCTTATTACAATTTTGTGACTGTGCCCTTGCCAACAATACCACAGCCTCTACTAGTACACCAATCACGCTGTCTGCTGTTTGAGCAACAGCAACTATTAACACCAATACAAAGTATTTCTCCTTTGCTAGCAACACACCAATAATAGCAACCAAAACACCCAAACCAAAACAGCTGGTTTAAGAATTCATCCACGCACCCAACCAACTATCCAACTATCTATACTTCCACCCAACAATCCTCCTCTCCCCAATTATTAATAACCTGCTATGTGCTGGGCACTGCACACAATACTAACACCCTTTCTTTACCTAAAGCAGGCTCTCCAAGGCGAAGAGAAGACCAGAGTTCCACCTCCCACGCACAAAATGCCAACGCACAGAGATCATATCAATTGTGAAATGAGACTCTCTGTTGGGCAAATTACAAAGTCCCAGCCATAAGGCCATTATGCATAGTTCTTAACATGGGCTGCTTATTAGAATCACCTGGGGAGCATTATAATAATGCCAAAGCCTAGGCCCCATCCCAGATCAATGAAATCAGAATCTTGGGAGGTGGGGCCCAGCATTGATAGAATTTTTAAAGCTTCGCAGATGATTCCAAAATGCAGCCAGGGTTGCAAACCACCGATTTTAAGTATTTCTAGAGTGGTATTTCTGAAAACGTCTTAATCCACAAATCTATTAGATGGTACAAAGACCACAAAGACTCCCTCTCCCATCCACGGTACCTGCCATCTGTGCTGTATTGAAATGATACAGCAATAAAGTGTTCTCTTAAAATTAGTGTCCCATTATTTATTTGTTTATAGCAATAAAATACTAAATACTGATACTACATACTAAATACTCGCTCTCATGTGGTAGTTGAGTGCTTGGGAGAGCGGAATTGGCAATGTCCAGGCAGGAAGCAGCCTCAGCTCAGTCACCTGACAGGAGGAAGCCTTCACAGTTCAGGCATGATTATCAAACTCTTTGTGCTCTTAAAGGAGAGTAATTATAGGCATGCGAAAAAAGGGAAGAACTCCCTGAGGAACTCTTCCTCACATGCTTCCCAAGAGGCACTAGGGCCATTAAAAATTCCATGATGAAGAGGAAAAACGGCCTGGGAACAGCCAGGAGGCAATACAGCAAATTAATACACCAGCCCTCCTCGGGGAAAGCTGTGATAAAACAGGAAACACTTCTCTCTTCGCAAAATAAAATTATACCACTAATGATAACACAGTCACCACACACACAAAAATCATTCTAATGATGGCTGTGAAATTCCCAATGCTGCCCAGATGCTTTGAAAGAAATCTTTTTCTACTACAAATGAAATGGAACAAGAAAAAGATAAAATTTCCATTAGCAACAGTTTTTTAACACAGTTATTAACCTTCCTCTTCCCTGCTACCACCACTCCTTAACATTCCCTCCTTAGTGCCAGGCTTTTGTTAAACGGACCCACTGTTCAGAAAGCTCACCACCCAGTTCTGAATCTAATCTCATCAGTCTGCACAATGGCAGCTGGAAAAATCCTGTAGTGGCTAGATGGCTCCTTCTCAACTGACCCCTCACTAGGAAGAGACCCCACTATTTCAAAGAAGTGAGCAATGGCCCAGAGGGCTTAGTCTTTCATCATTCACATTTGCTAGGAACTGCATAGAGCTCACTTGTGCTGATGATTCCCTACACAGCAGTGGTCACCAAACTCTATTGATCATGCACCCTTCTGAGTAAAGAAATTGAGCCAACACTCACAAATATGCAATATATTCACGTAAAATAAAAACAGATGCTACTATACTAACATATGTACGATTTTTTTTTTAAAAAAGTAATTTAAAAAGGATAATAAATAAATGTAAGTTCTAAAGTTTTCTTCCTCCACCCCAAAGAACCTTCGTGCTTGCAACCCACTTTGTACCCACTGCCCTGGGAATGATGTCTGGAAGTAAGGAGAAAGATCAGCTATAATCCTCCACATTCTCTCTCCCTTGCTTTCAGCAATGGTCTAAAGCACTAAGCAACACTTCCCCAGAGCTGAGAGCACTAGAAGCACAGGCTAGACTGCCTTGTTTCCAAGTCCAGTTACAAGCACTGCCAGGCAAGAGAGTGAAGATAATGACGTGGATAATGAGATACACAAAGACACACGAAGCTGCTGCCCTGTCCAGCCATGGGATGAGGCTTTTAAAGGAAACAGGAAACCTGATAAAAGCACGGATACAGACCTCAGCACAGCACGGCTCTGGGTAGCAGAAGTAAAAGGAGGAGGGCAAAGTAATTCACTTTCAGTTTCTAACATGATGTGGTGTGGCTCAGTCTTCCCACAGAGTCTATATGGTCATTATTTTATTCGGTATTAAGACAAAAGCCAAAGGACTGCTTTCCTATGGATTGAAATCTTGTGTCTTCCTCTGTGGGAATGATCTTCCAAGACAGCTTGAGTCTCTCCTAAGAAAACCTTCCTGAGCCCCTGAGTTAGGAGCTCCTCCTCTGTGCTCTGCATCATTCTAGTGCATACCTTTATTATACAGCACTTATTACTCCATGTTGTAACTGTCAACTTCCACACCTGACTTTCCCATGAGAATGTACACTCCGTGAAGCCAGTCCCTAAACAGAGAGAGTCTGGCACAGAGTAAGGAGTCAGCAAATGTTGAAAGAATGAGAGAATGATAAAGAAACAGTATGCTACTGAATAAAAGATCTTACACTAGGAGTTTAAAACCATCCCACAATCTTCCACATTCTTACTAATACCATTTATGATGTTGCTCTCTTCAAAGATTTTCCCCACTGAAATATTACTTCTCCAGTAGAGAGTTGGTAGTGTGGGATAGTGCAGAGTTTATCATCAGAGCCCACAGTGGAAGTTCTAATTGTCTCCATGAAAGAATAACTTCTCTATGCAACCTGCACCCAAAATCTATGAATGTAACCATTTAAAAACTTACTAGGAAGAAAAATATATATATATATCAGAACCTAGGAGAGAAATTCTTTACACCACCAGAAACAATAAAAGTTCTATGGTCTAGCCTATTAGCTGCTCTTTTGTACATAAGAACCCTGCTAGAGGATACTACCATTAAAAGCATATTTACTTCCCATGTCATCTAGCTTGAGAGAACTGTATTGAGAAACACAAAATTCAGTCATTCGACACATATATACTGAAGGCCTATAAGGGCCAGATACTGTGTTAGGTGCCGGGGATATATTAGGGAACAAGACAAGATCCTTATAATTATAAAGCTCATATTCTAGTGAGAGAGACAGGGGAAAAAAGTTAAAAACAAAAAACTAATAAGGAAATTCATTACAGTCTGTGATATGAGCTATAAAGGAAGCAAAGAGATAATAAGCAGGGTACTGAAAGTGGCTCCTTTAGAGAGGAGAGTCTAAGAGTGCCTCCCTGAGGAGGTGACACTTGAGCCAAGATAAGAAGAGCCCTAAGACGGTATTCCAGGCAAAGGGAACAGGTATGAAGGTCCAGAGGCAAGAAAGGTTGCTATTTTTGAAGAATAAAATGGAACTCCCTGGTGTAGCTGGATCTCTCCTCCATTTGGGGGGCTGGGGATTATATGAAAGAAGTTGGACATGTAGACAGAAGTCAGATTATACAGGGCTTTGTAGGTCATGGCAAGGACCATTAATAATGTTCTTTGAAGACAGGTCTTAGTTGCAGAAATAATATGAAATATGAGCTTGAAGACTTGGGTCAAAGTTGCAACCAGATCACATACTAGCCATGTGACCACAGGAAAGGTACCTCACAGCTCTGCTTCGGTTTCTGCACCTCTAAAGCATCTATCAACCTCAAAGGTTGTTGTGAGGATCAAAAGGTATACTATACATGCAAATACTTAATAATTTGAAAAGCATTAAAAAAAAAAAAGATCATCCAAAAGAAAATAGCAGCCACCAGAGGATGGTTACCTGGCAGAGCAGTGTGCTGGTGAACATCTTCGGTGAGAAGCGTCAGCAAGAACATCCAGGGAGTAAAAGGGAGAGAGGGGATTAAACTGTAGGAATAAATAAGATTATTTTAGTAAGGCCAATATCAAAGATCTGATCCTAAAGGGTAACCTACTATTTGATTACTTTTCCCCTTTGAATGCCCAACTATTTTGCCAACTCAAACACAGACACCACTAAATAAAGTTGCACATATTCACTATTGCATCCATGAATGCAGCATACCAGATCTAAACCCACCCACTGCCGTAGAGTCAATTTCAACTCCTAGCGACACTACAGGACGTAGCAGAACTGTCTCATGAGCTTTTCAAGGCTGTAATCTTTACAGAAGCAGACTGCCACATCTTTCTCCCATGGAGCAGCCGGTAGGTTCAAACTGCTGACCTTTTGGTTCGCAGCCGAGCGATTAACCACTGTGCCACTAGCACACTTCAAAAACAGACTATTCCCTGGTAAACAACAATTTTCAAAAATTTGTGACACATGATAATCACTTAAATGGCATAAGACAGTACTTTCTAATTTATATGAATAGGAACTTATACCTATTATCAACTATCAGCACTTACTTCCAAGAAAACTAGCATAAAATTACCTTTTCATTTCACAATCTTGGCAAGTATATGTTTCCAATGAATAATTAGTTAGCACATAACAGCAGCACAGTGTAATGGAAATAGAACTAGACTAAGAATTAGAATATATAACTTCTAGTTTTAGTCTACTACTGATTTGCCACATGTTAAAAATTACATAACCTCTTTGAGTTTTACAATCTTCACCTGTCAAATGGAAGTATCGATAGCTGTCCTACCTATTTTATAGTCACTGTGAGGGCCAAATGAAATACTGCATCTGTTCAACATCTACTGACCTCAAAAGGTGGTTGTGAGGATCAAATGGGACACTACAAATACAACTACTTCATTTTATGTTTGCTAGCTTTCTTGGGATTTTTTCTACAACAAATAGTCCTCCCTAAAAAGTTCAGAACTAAGTACATCTTAAGACTGGAAGAATTTTGCATGGTAACTTCAAAAGTACCTACAAAGAATACAAACTAAGCAACTGTTCTGTCTCTTGCTGAGGTTCCAATCCCAGCTCTACCAGCTGTGTGACCTTGGGCAAATAATGTAAATCTTATAGATGTCTAGCTCCTCATTTGTAAATAACAGATGTGGACTAGGTGACTGCCACAGATTGGTCCCCTTCTGCCTTAAGATCCCCTGATGCACACAAGGTTAGTACTCTAGCTCAGAGTTCCCCAAACTGCAGTTCCTCACATACCACCCTCAATGACTTTTCCATATCTGCATGCCATTTGCACTGTTTATTAATATTTTTCTTCACATCATCTATTTTTACTTAGCCTTGTCCTTACTATGTTTCCATGAAATAACAAGCTTGATGTAATGATTGTTCTGAAGTATACTATAATACATAATTTAAAATAAAAAGTGTCCACATACCATCAAAAATTATCTCCTATACACTGGTTCTATCTACCACTGCTCTAGCTCATTTTGTAACAGCAACTTTACTTTGAAGGTTCTGAGTCTAAAATGTACATTAACTCAATAAGATACTAAGTAGTAAAAAAAAAAAGAAACGGAGTAATAGGAAATCTGAGAATTTTTACCTACCAGACTATCTGTTTTACAACTAATCACCAAGATGAAGTAACACTCTCCAAAAATCAAGATTTAAACATAAAGGAACACACTGACAGTCACTGTCAGTAATTTTTTTTTTTTTTTTATGTATTGTTGTTGAGAATATACACAGTAAAATACACACTAATTCAACAGTTTCTACATGTACAATTCAGTGACACTGATGACATCCTTCGAGTTGTGCAACCATTCTCATTCTACTTTTCTGAGCTGTTCCTCCCCCGTTAACATAAACTCACTGCTCCCTAAGGTTCCTATCTAATCTTTCAAGTTGCTGTTGTCAATTTGATCTCATATACATAGATCTTGAAACAAAATAATGTTCAAGGCAGACATTCTTTACTAGTTAAGATAAACTATTGTTTGGTTTTAAGAAGACTTGAGAGGATAAACTGTCAGTAATTTTAAAATTTTGATCCCTACAAAGTCCTAGACAGGACAAGAGGCTCCTTGGGGGCAGCTAGGGAGAAAGACTAGGAGGGTGAGGTTCCAAAGCCTTGACCCCAGGGCAGCTCTACCTTCTTCTGTTTGACATGTTCAGGCTTCAACCTAGTACTTCTCAGCACAGGATTCTGATGCTGAACTAAACCAAAAGCAGATGAGACTCACTCTGTTTTCTTCTTGCAAAGTTAGAAACTAAAATAAAAACAGAATTCTAATGAAATATTTGTTGCAAGTAATAAAATAATGATCACAGTTGGATCTATAAAGAGAAAATTTGCTACAGTTCTTATCAGTGACTGTCAAATATTCTTGCATAACTGCCCTCCAAGAAAATCAGAATAGCATAGGGAACAGGAAACCTTACCTCGTGTGCACAAGTGGAAATGTGAGGAAAAGCAGAAGCCAATGCTTTGTTCTTTCTAAAGAAAAGAAAATCAAATGATAAAATAAAGATGACAAAGAAAAGCAATCTTAACCTGACTTTGTTCTCTTTTCCCAGCTGATGGCAGCCAGAAACTAAAGAGAGGGAGAGAATAACAAGGAAGAAAACAATAAAAGGAATAGTAGAAAAATACAGAGAGAAGGAGAAGACAAAAGATGTTGGAATAATGAAGCAAAGACAAAGAAAGATAATGGGCAAAAGGGAGAAGTGGGGAGGAGAAGAAGAGAGGTATTAAACGTGTGTAAGCTTTTTAGCTGAAAATAACTCTTCAAAGGAAAAGCCTAATAATGGAATGTTAAAAAAAAAAAACTGGGCAGGCTAGAAATAAACCCAAGATTATGGTGTGACACCAGCGCACTCTCAGCTGTGCAATAACAACAGGATCCCTAAATCAAAAAGGACATAAACCACATGCACATCTTGCCTACTTCTGTAAATTAAAAATTAGATCAGGTTGGATGTAGACAGGACCATAACTGGGTACTGACCATGATGTGCACGTGAGACAACAAAGAGCCAACCATGATAGGGGAGAAGGCTGGCACAAAAAATAGCAGAATGACTCTCCTGCAGCTACATACAGGCTTTCCAATAGCACTTACCACCGTAATTAGGACAAAACAAGCTTCTCTAAATATTGTTGTTGGTAGGTGCTGTCGAGTCGATTCCAACTCATAGCAACCCTGTGTACAACAGAAGGAAACACTGCCTGGCCTTGAGCCATCCTCACTATAGCTGTTATCCTTGAGACCATCACTGCAGCCACTGTGTCAATCCATCTCCATGAGGGTCTTCCTCTTTTTCGCTGACCCTCTGCTTTACCAAGCATGATGTCTTTCTCCAGGGACTGGTCCCTCCTGATAACATGTCCAAGGTACATAAGACGAGGTCTCACCATCCTCCCTTCTAATGAGCATTCTGGATGTACTTCCCTAGATTTATTCCTTTTTCTGGCAATCCATGGTATATTCAATATTCTTCGACAACACCATAATTCAAATGCATCAATTCTTCTTTGGTCTTTCTTATTCACTGTCCAGCTTTCACATGCATATGAGGCAATTAAAATACCATGGCTTGGATCAGGCACACTTTAGTCCTCAAAGTGACATCTTTGCTTTTTAACATTTTAATGAGGTCTTTTGTAGCAGATTTCCCCAGTGCAACACCTCATTTGATTTCCTGACTGCTGCTTCCATGGGTGTTGATTGTGGATCCAAGTAAAATGAAATCCTTTACAACATTTTCTCCATTTATCGTGATGTTCCTTATTGGTCCAGTTGTGAGGATTTTTGTTTTCTTTTTGTTGAGGTGTAATCCATACTGAAGGTTGTGGTCTTTGATCTTCATCAGTAAGTGCTTCAAGTACTCTGCTTTCAGCAAACAAGGTTGTCGTCTGCATATCAGAGCTTAATGAGTCTTCCTCCAATCCTGATGCCACGTTCTTCTTCATATAGTCCAGCTTCTCAGAGCCCTGGTTGCACAGTGGTTAAAGCAATCCACTGCGAACCAAAAGGCTGGTGGTTCGAAACCACCAGTGGCTCTGCGGGAGAAAGATGTGGGAGTCTGCTTTCATAGAGATTTACAGCCTTGGAAACCCTGTGGGATTGCTATGAGTCAGAATCCACTCGACGGCAGTGGGTTTGGTTTTTTTATTTTTTTATTTTTTAATACAGATCAAGTAAGTATGGTGAAAGGATACAACCCTTGCCGCACATCTTTTCTGATTTTAAGCAACACAGTATCCCCTCGTTCTGTTTGAATGACTGCCTCTTGGCCTATGTACAGGTTCCTCATGAGCACAATTAAGTGTTCTGAAATTTCCATTCTTTGCAATTTTATCCATGATTTGTTATGATTCACAGAGTCGAATGCCTTCGCATAGTCAATAAAATACAGGTAAACCTCTTTCTGGTATTCTCTGATTTCAGCCAGAATCCAACATCAGCAATCATATACCTTGTTCAATGTCCTCTTCTGAATCCGGCTTGAATTTCTGGCAGTTCCCTGTCAATGTACTCCTGCATCCATTTTTTAATATCTTCAGTAAAATTTTACCAGCATGTGATATTAATGATATTGTTCAATAATTTCCACATTTCATTGGGTCACCTTTCTTTGGAATAGGCACAAATTCAGATCTCTTCCAGACGGATGGCCAGGAAGCTGTCTTCCAAATTTCTTGGCATACACGAGTAAGCACTTCCAGCACTGCATCCGTTTGTTGAAACATCTCAGTTGGTACTCTGTCAATTCCTGAAGCCTTGTTTTTCACTAATGGCTTCAGTACAGCTTGGACTTCTTCCTTCAGTACCATTGATTCTTGATCATATGCTACCTTATGAAATAGCTGAATGTCCACCAATTCTTTTTGGTACAGTGACTCTGTGTATGCCCTCCATCTTTTTCTGATACTTTCTGCGTCATTCAGTATTTTGCCCGTACCATCCTTCAGTGTTGCAACTCGAGGCTTGAATTTTTTCTTCAGTTCTTTCAGCTTGAGATATGCCAAGTATGTTCTTCCCTTTTGGTATTCTACCTCCAGGTCTTTGCACATTTCATTATAATACTTTACTTTGTCTTCTCAAGCTGCCCTTTGAAATGTTTTGTTCAGCTCTTTTACTTCATCATTTCTTCTGTTTGCTTTAGCTACTCTACATTCAAAAGCAAGTTTCAGAGTCTCTTCTGACAACCATTTTGATCTTTTCTTTGTCTTTTTAATGACCTTTTGCTTTCTTCATATATGATGCCCTTGATGTCATCCCACAACATGTCTGGTCTTTGGTTATAAATGTTTAATGTGTCAAATCTATTCTTGAAATGGTCTCTAAATTCAGGTGGAATATACTCAAGGTCGTACTTTGGCTCTTGTGGACTTGTTTGGATTTTCTTCAGCTTCCCCTTGAACTTGCATATGAGCAATTGATGGTCTATTCCACAGTAGGCCCCTGGCCTTGTTCTGGACTGATGATACTGGTTTCTCTACTGTGTTTTTCTACAGATGTAGTCAATTTGATTCCTGCCTATTCCATCTTGCAAAGTTCACGTATACAGTCGCCATTTGTGTTGTTGAAAAAAGGTATTTCCAATGAATAGGTCCTTGGTCTTGCAAAATTCTATCGTGTGATCTCCAGCATTGTTTCTATCACCGAAGCCATATTTTCCAATTACTGATCCTTCCAGTCACCAGTAACTATCAATACATCTTGACTGCATGTTTGATCAATTTCAGACTGCAGAAGCTGGTAAAAATCTTCAATTTCTTCATCTGTGGCACTAGTGGTTGGTGCGTAAATTTGAATGATAGTCATATTAACTGGTCTTTCTTGTAGATGTATAGATATTATCCTATCACTGACAGCACTGTACTTCAGGATAGATCTTGAAATGTTCTTTTTGGCAATGAATGTGATGCTGTTCCTCTTCAATTTGTCATTTTTGGCATAGTAGACCATAGGACTGTCCAATTCAAAATAGCCAATACCAGTCCATTTCAGCTCACCAATGCCTAGGCCTGCCAGAAGAATGAACAAATCTGTCTTGGAAGTACAGCCAGAATGTTCCTTAGAACCAAGGATGCCAAGACTTTATCTCACCTACTTTGGACATGTTATCAAGAGGGCATCATGCTTAGTAGAGGATCAGCATAAAAGAGGAACACCCTCAACGAGATAGAATGACACAGTGGTTTCAACAATGAGCTCAAGCATAACAACGACTGACGATGGTGAAGGACCAAGCAGTGTTTTGTTCTGTTGTACACAGGGTCGTTATGAGTCAGAACCAACTCGATGGCACCTAACAACAACAAACAATGCCTAGGATATCAATCTTGAAGCATTCTATTTCATTTTTTTTTTTTTTTAATATTTTATTGTACTTCAGGTGAAGGCTTACAGAACAGATAGTTTCTCATGTAACAGTAACACACATGCTGTTTTATGACATTGGTTAACAACCC